ATAATTACAGACACCAAGTAGCCAAAGTTTTGAGAAATTAGGCATTACTTTCCTATTAACAACAGTGTAATCTGAACAATCAAATGTTTAAAACATACCTTGGTTTTTGAACTCCATTTGGCATTTAAAATAGCAGGATAGGTGAGGAATGGGTTTTATGTCACCTACAACATTATATATAGAATCAAAATTCATATTGCATAAATGTTTGACACACATCAATTGCACACATTACGTCATCCCTTTGACAAGCTGAGCAGGTGCCCCCTCCCCCTTTTCAATTATTTAAATCCATTTAACTTCTCCAAAATACAATTTTTTCCATAAAATTTGTCAACAATTTGCATAATTAGTTCCAAATTATCCAAAAAGTGCCAGTAAATTGATTAACGTGAGATTTGACCTTTGACCTCATAGGACACAGACTACCAATTATTTTGCTATACATTCCTTTATACTATAAAAAATGATTAAAAAAATTACACCAGCTCAACTTACCTGAAACTTGGCACAGAGTAAGAAGAATTCAAGTCCAAAAATTTTTCAGACTCTCAGGAAAATTCATCGCATGCAGTTCCTGCTAAGGCATCGCAAATAACCCCTACCCTGCTTTTTTCACTTTCTCTTCGGGGAAAGGGTAAATATGGGCCTCTTTACACCCTTCCTACTACGCGCGCAAGTGCAAAATTTCACATATTAACAATTTTATATTTTTTTTCAAACCCTCTCCTTTCCATCTATACCCAAAAATAACATCAGTCCACCCCATAAACACCCCAAAGAATTTTTAAGAAAAAACCTCTATTTTTAAACTGGAACTACTTGAGTGGTCAATGAAATAGGGGTAAAATTAGTAGTCTGTAACCCTTTGTCTTACCAAGTTTAAGGTAGCTATGACGTCACAGCCTACTCCACTGCGTTACGAAGCATGAAACGGTTCGAGGACTTATGTACTAAGGCTAAGTTTAAGGTAGATACCGACAATCTCTCACCAGAGGGCGCGCTCCGCTTACACCTCTGTTGTCGTCTAAAAAGTAGCGCGGGTTGTCAAATAATTATTTGTCGACAAAATTGTTAGACATTGATTGTTTTGTATGATTTCTCAATGATGTTACGTGTTTTAAGCTCTCTGGTAGTAGATATTTCCTGACTTTTGTCTCCTTGGTTTCAAAAATGAAAATATGTGTAAAAATCAGAACAAAATAGTGCAGTATATATTGAAGCTATTTTAATATATATATAAATTTTGAAAGAACAAAAGAAGTGCTACAGATTGATATTTCTAATTTCATTTAAGAAAAAATACCATGTTGGTGGAAATCTATAATTTATTTTCGTTTTACAAGATTCTTGTAATTTAGACGATAACAGAGGTGTTGGAGCGATGAGCGTAAAACGCCCTCTGGTGAGAGATTGAGATACCGATAGCAATCACGTGATAGGAAGAATTCGCATAATTGCACGTGCTTTTTTTCCGGATTCCGGAATGCCGTCAAATAAAAGTCTCCATTTACACATTATTGTCTATGCTACAAGATGGCCGACGAAGCGATCGAGAAATATTTCCTCGACTTAAAAAAACAAAGTTGAAGTTAACGTACGTTTTAAATCTTTACGGTTTTCGACATTGAAGAATCTTCATGAGAATCAAAATAGAAGTGATACTGAAGCCGAACATGAACATAATTTTGGTGAAACTACTCCTTGTCCAGTGTCCGCTGCAGCACCACGTGGGTACACCGGTATCGACTGTATAGACATTTTAAAGACCATGACCCTACAGATGTTAATTTGTATGACCGAAGAAGTAAAATTTTTGCAGAAAAGATTTTTTGTATGCTGTGTCCGTGCCAGATACATAAGGTGAATATTCACGACTTTAGTATATCGATCATGACCATGGTGCTTGTTTGTTTACGCACGTCTGGTACCAGTATATTTAGCTTCAATTAAACAATAAAATGCTTTCTTTGTTTGTCGTTACTGGAATGAACGGAAGCAGCTGTTGCTGAAAAAATACATAACCCGCGTAAGCAGGATATGTTAATTTTTTCTGCAATAGCTGCGACCGTTCATTCCAGTAACAACAAATAAAGAAAGCATTTTATTGTTTATATTTATATCTGTTTAAATAATCAATTAAAGTAGGATTAAAAAGATTAATTATTGTATTAATGAAGCGAACCGTTCATTCCAGTAACAACAAATAAAGAAAGCATTTTATTGTTTATATTTATATCTGTTTAAATAATCAATTAAAGTAGGATTAAAAAGATTAATTATTGTATTAATGATGCGAACGTCTTTATACGTTTCATTGATGGAACAGCCACTGATTAAGAAATCTGTACAGGCGACATGCCTACTGTAGTTTATGCAGTGATGAACGCAATGGGGTTTCTTAAGAAATAAAGAAGAAAATATTCAGTGGATGTAAATATTTACCAATAACCTACATAGATTTTTTTTTCCCTTTCTAAAGTCATAGTTTTATTTAGCTAAAAATTAAAACTTATTTCCTGGCCAGACTGTAACTTCTAGAATAGAAAAATAAAGCTGGACGTTTCTGGTGTCAGAACATGATAAAGGCCGGATAGGTAAAAAATGAAAAGTAATTATACTTATCTGTGCCTAACACACGAGGTGGTGTTTAGTTACTCAGATCAAAAAATGGAAAATACATATTTTGCTTAAATTTTTCAAATGCAGAAATGTATATACTTTCTCTGCTTTGGATGACGGATGCTTTTTAATTATTATCACCCGGCCTTTTATAAATGATGAAATGACAAGCAAATTATAAAAAGTTGCATTGAAAAAAAAAAAAGGAAACAACTTTAGGATCAAGTGAAAAAAAATTAGATCAGTCGTGTAGCAGGAAAAAAAAAAAACTATTTTTTTTTAGCCTTATGTAATATTTATGTACCTGTAATAAATTTATGTATGTATTTGTTTTATGCTCAAAAGGGCCCTGATTATAAACAGATATCATATTCATAGATTATAAAAGAAACATTTAATACTACAGGTGAAGCAAGCTATGAACTAGACAGTGTATTCAGCTTTCTCTGCTGAAATAATGTGACCAAATCAAGTGTTACCTGGAAAGAGGAATGTCAAGGGTGCTTTTTATATTAACTCCAAAATAGCCATTGGTTTGTATTTTTTCTTTCAATTTACACTTGCACATACATGTATATCAGGGAAAATACAGAAATATTTTTCAAGGGGGTGGTAAACAGGAGGTGTTTTATCATACATGTATTAAAAATTTTAATTTATGATTTTTAGTCCTTGTATTTTTAATTTGAACACCATAATGTACAAACAGTATTATTGTATACATATAGAAGCATTTTCTTAACAAAGTCAATAATTTCTCGAAGATCATATTAATATTTTAGGAAAGTTCAAGCCAGATCTGCGACAGCAAACTGAACATAAAGTGGCATACTTGTGTGTCAGGAAACGAGGAACAGTATGGCTGTACTGAGAATCTAACCGGGGATCCCTGCATCACTACTTACAAGTAGGTGTTCTATTGACTTAAACACATATATGGTTAATTATTTGTGTATAAACATATAAAAAGTCATGTTGTAAATTGAATTCAAAACTTAATAACCAAAATAATTGTAAAATGTAAAGATGTTTTCTAACTTGAATGAAATTGTTTCAACTAAAGCACTAAAGAATTGGTATGATAATATGAAGAAGTCAGTATTGTTAAAAAAACTTGTAATTGACATGGTTTTTTAATAATATTGACCTCTTCACATTATCATAGCTAAATTTGCAAAATAAATCAAAATTGTTAATAAATTCTATATCTTTTTTTTTTTAAATAGATCAATCTATTTACTTTATTTTATTTTCATCATGTTACAGATCCCATGGAAATATAGGATCCTTGGCTAATCAAGTGTCATCTGCAGTGTTACAAAAGAAATTGGATTTATATCAAAAAGGTAATTAGGGACAAACCTGAATTAAAAAAAATGGAATAAGATGTAAAAACAAAAGTATTTTAATTAAGGTCTTCCGTTTCAGACGGAAGACCTTATAGTGATTCTACTGTTTTTTCTTTTTATTATTATTAATTTTTTCCCTTTTTGTTTTGTCGATTTCTCAGAGATGACTGGATGGATTCAGATGAAATTTTCAGGGATTATAGAGAGTTAAAATAGTTTTCAAATGAGGTTTTCAGTTTTTCAAAATTCACTTCCGGTCGTCAGTTATGTCTGATTTCCGCTTTTTTCAAAAATGTTTTGTCTGAGTCATATCTCAGAAACAGTAAAAGATTACGACACCAAACGTATATGAGTAATAGATCTTGATTAGTAGGCAAAACCAATTGGGTTAACATCATTCGCCGTCACTTCCGGTCGTCACAGGAAGTGATAAAAAAAAATCTAAATTTTCAACTTTTTATTTTTTGAAGATTTTTTTGCATCACATTATAGCATCTTGTTTGTAGTTTCAAAATAAATCAGTCCCACCGGAAACAAAAAAGACAACTTCCGGTTATAAGAGAAAAACTGCATATTTTTAGTATTTTTCTCTCCCATAAATATTTTTCATACGTAATGTATTTGAAATGAATATTGGATATGTTATTCAGAAAGCTGATGTCTACAGTAACGTCAAATATCTTTGTAAAATTTACTTCCGGTAGCGTGATTTCCGGTCCTCAAAATGAGAAGTTATCATAGCTAGATCTCGTTAACGGTAAAAGATTAAGACACCAAACTTATCTAGAGTGATAGATCTTGATGAGTAGGCAAAATCAACGGTGATAAGATCGTCTGCCGACACTTCCGGTCGTCACAGGAAGTGATCCAAAAAATCGAAATTTGCAACTTTTTTCATGAGACTGTTTTAGCATCACATTATAGCATCTTATTTGTAGTTTTGAGATATTTCAGTACCACCGGAAACAAAAAAAGACAACTTCCGGTTATAAGAGGGAAACTACATGATTTGAGTATTTTTCTTTCCCATAAATATTTCTTATAGTTAAAGTATTTGTTATGATTTTTGGATATGTTATTCAGACTGCAAATGTCTACAGAAGTGTCAGACATCTTCGTAAAATTCACTTCCGGCCGCATGATTTCAATATGTCTTAAAAATTAGAAGTTATCATTGCTAGATATCGTAAATGGTGAGAGATTAAGACACCAAACTTAATTAAGTGATATATGGTGATAAGTAGGCAAACCCCGTTAGACAAAGATCGTCTGCTGTCACTTCCGGTCGTCACATGATGTGATCAAAGAAATCAAAAATTTCAACTTTTCTTCTATGAAACTTTTTTTGCATCACATTATATCATCTTATTTGTTGTTTCGAAATGCATCAGTCCCAAGGGAAACAAAAATATCAACTTCCGTTTAAAAGAGAAAAACTACATGATTTGAGTATTTTTCTTTCCCATGAATATATTTAATAATTAAAGTATTTGTAATGATTTTTAGATATGTTATTCAGACTGCAAATCTCTACAGTAATGTTTAATATCTCAGTAAAATTCACTTCCGGTCGCTGACTTCCTGTCCTCAAAATCAGAAGTTATCATTGCTAGATCTCGTTAATGGTAAGATATTAAGACACTAAACGAATAGTGATGGAAGACCATGATGAGTAGACAAATCCTTTAAGTTTAAGATCGTCCGTCGTCACTTCCGGTCGTCACAGGAAGTGATCCAAAAAATCGAAATTTGCAACTTTTTTTATGAAACTTTTTTTTGCATCGCATTATTGCATCTTATTTGTAGTTTCGAAATGTATCAGTCCCACCGGAAACAAAAATGTCAACTTCTGGTTTAAAGAGAAAAACTACATGATTTGAGTATTTTTCTTTCCCACAAATATTTCTTATTGTTAAAGTATTACAGATAAATAGAGAAGACCTTATTTGTTGCTGTAGCAACAAGAGTTTCTAGTTCCACATATAATAGTTAGGTTGATAGTTGTAAATGCATTGATGTGTCACTGACAGGTACATGTAGTTTTTTTATTTCCACAAAGACTTGATCCTTTGGTATCAACTCTTGAACAGTTTGTGCTGAGTCTTTGTATTTCACGTTTATTTATTTTCCTTTAACCCCATGGTCTTGGCCTTAGAATGTGGCCTACATTTAGAATAAAATATTTGATCTTTATCCTTGTACACCAGTTTGTTTAATTAAGACAGTTCATTAATCCAAATAATTTCCTTGGGAGCAAATGTGCCCAGATTAATGAGGCTTACTTTATATGCATTTAATTAAAAAAATTCATGACATTATATAAAAGAGTTATCTCAAAAGTGTCTTGTATTCATGTAGACATAGTCATACTATGTTTGCAGTGTAAGAAAGTAGAACATGTATTTTCACTCTTATTGTATTAAAATATTTTGTTCTTTTCAGAAAAAGAACTACCAGAAGGAGACAGTAAAGAGGAACGGACATATCACACCATAAGATTTGCTTCAAAATTGGAATATACAGAATGAATTTTGCTCACTGCAGATCCTTGTGAAAGAACACCTTTGTTGTATTGACTTAAAAACAACGGAATTACCAGGATCCTTGAACATGACGCAACTGGCTGCACACGATGGCAATTAAAAATGCATACATGTTTACATTGATCTTTGTTAGCCAACGAGGCAAACAGCAAAATAGCAATTTTATCCTATTGCCGTACATGTACTGAATGTATTCACTTTATTTTGTTGAACTACATCATGAATTTCAAAATTGTACAGTACTGTATCACATACAGGTTATGGTGGGATTCCTTTAACTGTTTGCAAAATCTATACTTTAAAGTTACAAATTATTACCTCTAATACATTGTTTTTTTTCTTTGTAAATTATACAATATTTTTGAATGTATGTTATGATAACCAAATCACCCAATTTTCCCCGCACTTTTTACCATGTATTTAGCATTTTTTTACCATGCTTTAGTGTATTAATATCTGACAACTATATAAATGATGACCAGGCAGTCTTCATTTAACAGTGTAATACATAACACATTTTTAGCTGAATAATTTTAAAACAAGGATAACATGCCATGGATTGATTCTGTGTTCAAAACTTCATAATCACTGGGTTTTCTTATTTATGTTGTATATGTATTTGGACTAAAAAAGGCATTGTTTAAAGAAAAGTGAAATTAATCATTCTATTGTTGTCAAAGGAAGATAATAAAACCAGTTTACTTATAATGCACAGAATTGGTCAAAACATATTGTCATTGATAATTCATCCAAGAATCATATGTATAATAAATCTGCAAAGTCAATTTGAATGATATCAAGGAAAGTTCTTATCTTTTTTTAGTTTTTTAATATAAGTGCAAAAAGGTCAACCAGGGCAACGTATATCTAGGTGTACATGTATAAATTGTTTTCTGTGATATAGAATGTAATTTAGAAGAATATTACTTGGAATTTTACTAATTTTCTTTGAAATATTTTGATTAATTCCATCTATGAAAGTCAATTTGAACGATAATGGGAAAACTTCTTATCTTTTTTAATATAAGTGCAAAAAGGTCAACCAGGGCAACGTATATCTAGGTGTACATGTATAAATTTTTTTTGTGATACAAAATGTAATTAAGAAGAATATTACAAAGAATTTACTCATTTTCTGTGAAATATTTTGATAAATTCTTGATAATCTCTCTTCATCACCATATTCTTCAAAATTGCATCCTTCTAAAGGAAGGGAGTAGGGTAGGGTGTAAGATAATAAACTTGTTCCAGGTTGAATTTAAACCCCATTATGTAGTATGATTTTTTTCTAAAATTTAAGACACTTATAGGCTAACTATTATATGCAATAAAAAAAGAAATTTGATGGGTAATTTTTTCACAGTGGAGGCAGAAGTGTGAGACTTTGTGCAATGGGTAGGCAATATTTTAACCTAATTTGACCATGAATCTTGGTAAATGTGATTCTGTTTTTTGCTTACAATGCTTGATAAATTTAATATTGATGTCAAATATTAATCCATACAGACAGATGTTTGAATTCATATAAGACAAATGATAATTGATAAAGCAATAAAAAATTTACAGCCCTTTTCATATCATATTCTTATATTATTTTACACTGATTTTCAGCTCTTCGGTGGTTGATGAAGGCTATATTGAAATTGTCAAATTTCTCTAAAACTAGCCCGATGACCTGCCTTGAATTTTTGATATGATTTAGAACAAGGACTCAACACAAACATATAAAAAATTCAGAAAAATTCAATGGGTAGTTTTTTTGTTGATAAGCTATCAATCTCTACCTTAAGAAAATATAGCAGAAATATTTGGTGGAAAATCTTTATCAAATAATTTTTTTTAAAATAAAGAAGGCTTCCAAAAATTTATATACTTCAGAAAAATAACGATTTCTAATTCAAAATAGCAAATATAAAAATTTTAAATTGGATGAATAATGAAGGGATATGAGCATTTGGACCTCCAGTATGGCGGCCAATGGGAAGTAACTCTTGGTCAGTCGAAAACTATCTATTGTTTAAATGAGAGAAGCTTATAATGTACTCCGATATGCAGGTTCTGAAAATCAGGGATTAACTTAATTATTGAACGTGTTTAAAAAGTCTCTGATTTCTCCAAATAAGTATATTTTTTTATCCACAACAATTAATTCTTCAAGCTTCTTCTTGTAAGTTAATTATATTTATAAAAAATAAGGAAAAATTAGTAAATCACTAAATCTCAAATAATTTTTCAGGAAATGCGAAGAAAAACACCTAAGTACTACATGTACTATGCATTATACATGTTATATGTAATTCAAATTTGATCAACAAACAAATTTTAAAAATAAAGATCATAGGCATCAAGGCTTTTGAAGAAATTGCACATTTTTAATACAGTCATACAAGGTGCTTAAAATTAAGGACATTCTATTATTCAACGCCTGGTTT